TCACTGGGATCGATGTTCCCCCTTCACCCCATGGCGTGACTCACAGGAGTCATTACGAAGAACAGACTCCAAGGGGCTGCCCGAGGTTGCACCCGCCGTGATGGCCAGGCAGGTACCCCCTGGGAGCATCTTTTGGTCCTTGAAGGAGGGGGCAGGACTCAGGAAAACAAAATAAATCACTTGTGGCTTGCTGGCAGAATGTACAAATCCCTCGTCGTTGCCGGTATGATGTGGCAAACCATCGCCTGTTCGTACGTGGCCAAATTGCGTCACCCAAGTTTTTTCTTTCTTGTATAGCAATGCAAACAAAAAGGCGACACGGGCGTAAAAAATAAGAAAGACACACGCAGGTGACAGCTAGTCAGACCAAAAACTCAGACAGGAAAAAATCTGATGACTGATCGCATCGTTTTTATCGAGCACCTCACACGGTACAGAGAAAAACAAAATTGGTTGGGAAAGCAATATGGCACTGCCTCATTACATCGGTTACATGGTTCGTGACGTAAGGAGAAAATCTTGAGGTCATGGGGCTTCCCCTGACCTAGATTTCTCTCTCAGTCATTGGCTGAATCGCAGATTAATGCCTACAGTTCAAAATAGTCATTTGACTGACCGGAGTCTATGGTGGGTAATTGAACGTAGTTAATTTAAATTATTCATAACAGTTTCTAGCACATACTGGCCACATAGAAACTACTGCAGCTCAGAATAGAAATCGTGGAATTTCTCTCACCTTTTTGGGTTCAAAGTCCCAATTATGTACTACCCTAGCAGGTATGATTTCACAGTCATTCCAATGACACTCTTCACAATAATAACTACCACTATAATCACACAGACGTGCTTCTGCATTTGTACTTTCTGAAAATTACAAAACATCCAATCAAAACTTTGCATCTAGTTAATTTCACACATTAGATTTATTACATCATATTCTGGGAGCTGAAAATGATATTGAATGGGCATGTGTACAGATACACGTAGAGGCATGTGCTCAGATACACGCATGTGCACAGATACACGATGTGACGAATGAAACACCAAATAAGTCTACTAATAAATGAAGAGCCTATCAATTATCATCAACATTTCAAGTTTCATCAGTCACTCTTATTGTCTGATGCTGTGACTGGATAGGGACTTAACATTGCATGTTCGGAAGGAATTAATATTACAATAACAGAATAAACTGTTTACTTACTGACGGCAATTTGATTCTTACATTCAGCACATCTGAAAGTCTGTGATGCTAATCCTGATTCAGGACAAACATTCATGATAAAAGATGCCGTAGAAATCTGCAATAAAATCAACACCAGATTATTTTGTATATATTGCTGTTTGATCACAAAGAATTAATTAATTTTATAAAGATTTGTTTACTTTCATTTTCATCCTTTTTCTTCTACCAGTAAAGAACATCAGGGTTATCGATTTCATGGTGAATATAGTAACGTTGAACCATTTATTATGCAAATGAGCTTGTTAATTAAATTGAAACTTAATATTGCATAGCATATATCTTATATTGATAAATCAAGTCTCTACTAAGTTTGATCTGATTTGGACTATTAGTTCACAAGATATTAACAAGAATTCAAATTAATAATTAAATATGCAAATGAGCTCATTAATTGATTCCTTGAAAAAATAAATCAATGTGCATCTGTACCAGTGGTCACTCTGTCTTTGTACCAAATCTCAGCAAAATCGGTGCAGGCATCCCCGAGAAATGATGGACACACCCAAAAAACTGTATTTTACATGATTTTGACATTCAAAATGGCCACCAGGCAGGCATATTTTATCAAATCAGGAAATAAATCCATGTGAATATGTATACCTCCCTCACTGTGTCTTTGTACCTAGTATCATTGAAATCAGTCAAGGCATTTCTGAGAAATATTAATGGACGGACAAAAGCCATTATTAACGCCAGTCAGCCATATTTGATCATTTCAAAAAAGTAAAAAAAAACATGCATTTGTATAGGTGGTCCCTTTGTCCAAGAAATGACGATGCACACACATGAACCAAAGTTGACCGAATTTTGGCATTAAAAATGGCCACCAGTCGGCCATATTTGATCGAATCGGAAAATAAATTGAAGTGCACATGTATGGTTGACCACTATGTCTTTGTACCAAGTTTCAAAAAAATCGGTCCAGCCATCACCGAAAAATCGTTCCGGACGTTCTGACGAAGGCGAAACTACGGGGGGTTAATTAATGTGTTTACAGGACTAAACTGCTACATACAACACTCAACACTGCCACAAGATCATAGGCGGTTGTGCTTTGCTAGCCATGTGACAAATTATCACTACTGTTTTCAAAGCTTGGCTGGTAATACGAAACTGAACACCAATATACATATATCACACTTACCTTGCTACTAATACAAGTCCTTGTGATGGAAGGTAAACACTTTGCATGGCAGATATAGCCACAACCTGAATTGTCAAAAAAACAGAGTTAAACAAATTTAACAAATCATAGACTAACAGATGAGATATAACTTTCATCTAGTGAAAGGTAAAAAAAATGTAAAGCAATAGATTCTATTCTTCTTCCAAGTCACATGCATGCATGTGGTCTCCCATCTGTCATTTGATTGGTCCTTGCATGCCTCCCCTCTGCAGCAATTTCATTGGTTCTTGTATGCCTTCCATGAGATGACATCATGGGAATCCCCAACAAGGTGAAACATAATTTACATATAAAAGAAATTTTCCCATTTTTTTTTACAGTGATTGGGGAATCATATACAGCATCTCATTGCATGACTCCATAGGTATGACAGGGTGTGATGGATAAGACAATATCACATTGTAACACGTACCTTTACATTTATACCAGGTCTGAATCATACCCCATATTAAACCCACACATTTATCGCAGTGATATTTAGAGCTTTTACTATTTTTCTTCCTGAATTTATGCCCTAGTGCTACTTTGATGTGTGGCTCATCTTCTTCTGGACCTTCCTTAAGTTCTTGTAATTTCATGCGTAGTTGTACCAACTTTTTCACTAATTCTCTCCGTTTATCGGTGTGTTCAGGAGCTTCTTTGACCATATCTTTACAATTCTCAATTGCCAATTCCAACTCTTCTATTCTCGTGAATCCAAAGTAACCCTAGCAACAACAAAAAACTATTACAATCAATATTTGTACAACAGCATAAATGGCAGATATAGGTGGACATATGTATTTGGGGACAAAGTTCACACTGCATGATGGCAGATTTCTTGATATACTGGTAATATTAAGTTATACTAAATAAAAACATTTGTATACTATAATACAATTTGACTGACAATACAGCAGTGTTGCAAGCATAGGCTTCCTGAAAGCAACATTGATTACAACACAGCTGTATTTTCAGCCAATTATCTAATGATATTGTTGGTTAGGTGTATGAAACATTTTCACATCCGGAGTAGAGAAGAAACAAAATACCATGCATTGGGCCTATGCATATACATTTAGTACTGTAAAATCTGTATTAGAAACCATGGCTTCTATTAAAATGGTACAATGCAACAGAGGGAATGCGGCTTCTATTAGAGCATCTACACATATGAGAAATGGTGAATTTTTGGTTCTCAATTATTCAAAAATAATGGGTGCGACTTCTATTAGAGATGCGGCTTCTAATACAGATTTTACGATATCATTTTTTAAAAAAATCCATCCACAGGTGAGAGAGAACTGGTTCCATTATTACAGAAATGCATGATTTTCAACACAAAAATGGCTAACATTTAGTTATAGTGAATCCAATCACCAAACAAAGTATGACATGATGTATGAGGTATGTGCAAAGTTTGAATGGGGAATAATATAAGTTCCTGTTTTCAGACTTTGTAGAAGTATCCTACCTCTGGATGTGAGAAATGGTCTTCAGTTAATCCTAGTTCAGCAT